ACAATATCGTCACAATATTGATATAATATCGTCACAATATTGATATAATATCGATATTGTATCGATATAATATCGATATTGTATCGATATAATATCGATGTATCTATAAAATATCATTAGGTATCGGTCACCTTTCGATATTGATATATCGTTAAGTATTGTGGAAATATCGATAAGATTGATATAACGTTGAATATCAGGAGGATATCAATATATCGAAATCATATCGCTAAGATATCGATACATTATCGATACGTTATTCCAAAGATATCGATACACTATCGATATAATATCCTGGAGATATCGATAAACTATCGATAAACTATCAATACAATATTGTGAAGATACTGTTACAGTATCGTGAAGATATCGATAAAACTGTCGATGCACTGTTGTCAATATATCGATACAGTATCGCGAAGATATCGATAAAACTATCGATACACTTTCGATCTGTCGTTAAACATCGTTAGGTCATCAGTAATTAACCATTGCGCCCGAAAGGATATCTCATCCGCAAATAAATAAATAAACAAACGAACACCGACATATCGTTAATTATCGCTAAAACGTCGTTAAAATAGCGACGTATCGCTAAGCATCGACCGGATGCCGATACAATGTCCCTAATTGACAATCGACGACCGATTGGCCGTTGATTCGATCGATCGGCCGCGGACAGGATGAAATATTCCGGTCGTCACGGTGAAACGAACCGTGCGATACGATTCGCGGAAAATCTACGGAAACGCCGTGAAAAGAAAGAATACTGTCCGCGGCCGAGTTAGCAATCAGGAATTACAAAGTCCGTGGCTCTAAATACGTTTTAAAAGCGGAGAAGAGCTCTCCGGCCGCCGGGGTTCGGCTGCCGGCAGCTCCGGGGACACGTGCTGCAAGAGACGAGAAGCACGGCACAGCCCGGGAGACTCGAGGCAGTTCAATCAGCGTTAAATAAATTGGTTCCTGTACGGTGTTCCAGTCTCGCCACCCGGCCAGTGCCGATTTCCCAATTGGTTGACCGGCCATTCCAGCGGCGGACTGACCTGGCACACCCTCGACCTGACCAGGTCTTACACGTTCCACCCGAGGAACGCGTCCCTCCACGTTACCAGATCGAACACCAGCTCCTCCAGGTTCGAGAGCGGGCTATTCGACGGACAATACGTCCCTGGACAAGAGGACCAGGACGTCAAGATCCTTTGCAACAGCATCAAGCAATCCAACATCGCCCAGGCCATGACCATGACCACCCTGGTCGCCCACTTCACCGTCGGATGGTGAGTACACATTCGCACATAGACGACTTCCATAGCGACTTCACACTCCTTTCGACTCAATAGGCTTTATTTTGTTTTGTTAAATTGTTAGAAAAGGTAGCAGACTTAGTCTAGGAGCCAGCACCAAGAACGAGAGTTAAAAAGGTTAAGATAAGTCCTGAACCGCGCCGATAGTAGGGGTTCTGGGTGAGGTGAAATTATTGTAGATGTCTAGTGTGCTGCCAGAAAGGCTATATTTTATAATTAAGGGGCTTAAATAACTGAAGCGACCATACAAAGTGAAACGGGATTTGGGATAAGTCTGCTTTTGGATTCATTTGACTTTGTTCACTTGTTTTTGAGAATATTATATCGATAATGAGAATATTATATATCATTGGACGGATTTCGTTGAAAATTTTTGGGCATGTGGTGCAATGTTAAATTTATCTTAGAAAAAAATTCCGAACGGCAACACGTAGCGTAAGGGTGGGAAAAAATTGTCAAAGTTAGGGGTATTTTCTAATACTGAACCCAATATTGTAAGCTGGTTCTCTAAATTGGACGATTTTTAAAAAAATGACTATCGAGGGGATATCGCTTACAATTTTTTTACATATTGTTCGGTGTCGAAATCGTCCTTGAAAAAAATTTCATATCGATAGGAGTTCTACGAGGGTGTGAGAAAAATGATCAAACAGCGGAGGTGCACCATCGCCTAGAATGTGATGTTAGAGCCCAAGCTCCCGAATTGGACAAATTTCAAAAATAGTATTAACAAGAGGACATCGTCCAAAAATTTTTCATGCATAATTTAATGTCGAGTCTACTCGATGAAAACCCCCCGAACAAAAAGATCTGACTAAGAAAAGTATCTGAGAGCGTTAAAAAAAATTACTACAATTTAAAGACTCACCCTTGACGCAGAACTCGCGATATCCCGCTATCAAATCTGTGCGTACGCTTTCATGTACGTGCGACAAGCTTCCCGAGATTTTTAGACAAAGGGGAAATAAGGACCGTGCTTGTTAGAGAAGCTCGTCGCCCCCCCCCCTCTCCGCGCCCAAGTCAGTGTATTATCCCGCACAGGACAAAACGAATATGCCGAGAAATGTAAACAATACCGAGTGCCGCGGTAATAAGAAGCTAAAGGGAGGTCGTTTGTCCGAGGCTGCCGGAGCCTTTGCGAAAAGGGGAATGAAACGCCGGCAAACAAGGCCCGTAAATTTCGCAACGAAAGTTTCGGCTGACCCAGTCAAAAGACGCGCGCGCGACGCGGCGGCAACTGGGTCAAGACTTTATCCGGCGCGTCTAATGCAACATTTATGAAAGTTTCCTCTTTCAAATTGCCTGTCTCGGATCTATGAAAGCCGCGGCCGGCAGGGACACGGCTCCGAAATTCCCGAAAGTTCCCGGAAAAGTTGCGAGGCAAACAGTATTGTTATCGAACCACGAAACGCGGCGTTGTTTAACCTCCCTGCGACGCCGTGCTACTTGAGAGCTCTGCCTTCATTATTCACAATACCGCAGCCGTCTCCTTGGCTCGCGGTCTAACGCTATACCTTACGTTTCATGGTTCTCGTTTGACAAAAGAATTAACACTAATTGGCGGTGAATTTTTTTTTTTATTAAATCGTATACTTTCCATGTTGGCGAGAATTATGCGGTGTAATTTGCGATAAACAAAGAAAAAGTTAAGAAAAAAGAAGTTAGCTGCACGCATCAAAAAGTGGACTGATGCGATGGAATAGTACACATGAATATTTTTAGAAATCTTTCCAACTGTTTCGCTAAATTGCGTGCTAACTATAAAGCTGACGCTTGTGCTGGGTACGGACGGTGAGTCACGCGACGTCCGACGCTTGCTGGGTACCACTGGTGACTCATCAACGTCCGACGCTCGCCGAGTACTAGCGGTGAGTCATCAACGGTTGACGGCGGTCACCGGGCGCCTGAGGTCCGCAGGTACCTAGCGATGAGTCACCGGCAGTGACTGTAGTTACGAAACGTCTCGCGCTAGTTAGGTGCTTGTTGGGCACTAGCGATGAGTCATGCAACATCCGGCGCTTGCTGGGTACTACCTGTGAGTCATCTAACGTCCGATGGTTGCCGAGTACTTTAGCCATATGAATATTCTCCTTAACTTTTTTGGGGACCGTAACTATTTCCTAGGGTCATGACATTTTTTTCTGGAACTCTATAATATTCCCCACAAACCTATGATATTTAGTGTCCTGGAATGTTTTCCACAAGTTTTACAATTTCTTCGAAGACTCTGCAATTTTCTCCACAGATCCTGTAACTTTTAAGAAGCTCCAAAATGTTCTTCATAGACTCTGCAACTGTTTCGAAGACTCCAGGATGTTTTCCGAGAACGTCACAATTTTTTCAAACGGCTCTAAAATGTTATCCACAAGCTCTACGCTGTAGAAAGCTCTAGAATGTCTTCGACAAATCGTAGAATATTTTCAAAATCTTTGAATCGAAATTTCTAGAGTGTTCTTTCCAGACACAGCAATCTTTTAATTGCTCTAGAATGTTCCACACGGGTTCTACAACTTTTTGAACGTAAATAAGGATTCTTCTTAAATTCTACAATTATTAGAACTTTATATTGTCGTTAAGTCGTTTCGTCCTACCCTGCGACGGTTACTATAATTACGCAACGTCTGTTGCTGGGTACTGTTGATGAGTCATACGACGTCCGTCGCCTATTGGATACTAACGATGACTCACTTAACGTCCGACGCTCACTGGGTACTCTCGATGAGTCATCCGTCGTCCGACGCTCGCTAGGTACTCTCGACGAGTCATCCGCCGTCCGACACTCGCTAGGTACTCTCGATGAGTCATCCGTCGTCCGACACTTGCTAGGTACTCTCGATAAGTCATCCGCCGTCCGACATTCGCTAGGTACACTCGATGAGTCATCCGCCGTCAGACGCTCAGTGGGTACTCCCGATGAGTCACCAGCGCTGACTATAGTCGCAGAGCGTCTTAAATCCCGCAGCCCGCGCGTCCTTTAAAATAGCAAAGGCGCCAAAGGTGGACACCGGTGTCCGCCGTATTTCTTTTTCGGCTAGAATGAAATACCGTGGGAAACGGTGGATGAAATAAAAGGTCGCAACAGAAAAGGAAAGAAAGTCGCGTGTTCTTCTCGCGAGCCAGCAAGCGGCCGCGCGCGTCGCGTTTTGTTTCGAAGTTCGCGGAGCGGCTGGCCGGCTTTGGAAAAAAAGAAGGGGGTCGAGGCGAAAAAAGACGCGAACCGGGGCAAAGTTGTATTTTCGGTGAGCAGAAGAATGGCTCCGCGAGCGGGTGCCACGCGTGTATTAACGTCGGACACGCGACGGTCTCGTTTCACCGGCGGGTTTTTCCAGGGGCCGGAATATTTTTGAGGCGTCTCGCGGCCCCGCAAAACCGACGCGGACGCAGAAACGGCAAAAAGGCGAAAACAGCCTCGATAATACAGTGTTTTGAGAAGCGGGACAAGCCGGTGCCGGACGCGCGCCACAACGGGCTACATTGTTGCCGTAAATAGCGTCGCTGTTGTTCGCCGGCGAAACGTTTTAGCGTGGGTTCTGTGCCCACGAAGAAGAGACACACGCACACATACATACATACACACGCTCATATATACACACACCGTCTCTCCTGTCTTTTTCGTTTCCACCTTTTGCCTTTATTTTCACCGTGCCTTCTGCTTTTCAGCCGGAGCGGTTTCATGTGCATGACGTTCTACCGAAGGGACAGTCACGTGGTTGAGGTGCAGACCGGAAGCGCCGTATCCAGACCCGAGGAAGCTTGCAGCCCGCCGCACGTTCAGCAACACAACGTACCATTCCTCACCTTAGTCAGTGAGTACACGATCTCCTGTTTCGAACTTCTGCCACCTTGAATTCTTCGCTGTCTCGTATGGACACGACGGTGACAGGCTGCGATCTGCAGCCGGAATTAAGGGCATCCTGCTTTTCTGAAATATAACGGAAATTCTGAATGAAGGAATGTGTCTTCAACGCCAGGTTTTATCTATTCGACTGATCGCAGTAAATTCTCCCTAATTGACGCTCGGCTTGGAAATAAAATTGGACAGTTTGGGAAGAGGAGGCTCCTATAATCTTATCCCCTCTTCCTAAATTGTCCACTTTTGTTTCCAAGATGAGAGTCAATTAGGGCGAATTTTTCTGTATTGGGATTTGTCAATTTTTCTACGGCTTTAAAACGTTCTCCTCGATATTCACAATTTGTTAAAAGACCCTGGAATGTGATTTTTGTGGACTCCAGAATTTTTTTAGGGGTCGTAGAATGTTTTGCATAAATTCTACTCTTTTTTTAAACGACTCGGGAATGCTTTTTGTGGGCTCCAAAATTTTCTGAAGTCTCTAGAGCGTTCTATTTATAACCTGATATTTTTTCGAAGTCTCTAGGAGTCTGGTAATTTTATCGAAATCTTAAAAATATTTTTCCTATAGACTATAGAATCGTTTCCAAGCGTCCCCTTAGCTTCTACAATCATCAGAAGTCTCTGAAGTGTTCATCGCAGTCTCTACAATTTTTCTAGACTCCGAGGCTGATTCTCTCGCGTCAGTTCAAACAGGCTACGTTCTAACATTCCTCACCTGTTGAGCACAGTTTTATCAGTCGATGGCAACCCCACAAGGTCTCAATCAGGCCAGTCCAATAAAGAAACCACGATCCTCAGATTTACCTGGATTAGCAAGTTCAAGCCAGGACACTGCTCGTCTCCAATCGATCTTGAGCATTTCGAACCCTGGAACAAAATGGATTACGCTTGAAATTTTTGCGACAGCTTCGCGAAGTCGTCTGCGTTCCACGATTCGAGAGCGCCGTCCTTCGAGGCGACCGAAGAGACATTTAGTCCGGGATTAGCCACGTGGGGTGCTCATGGACTCCCATTGAGAAAATTATTATTTACTGATTTAAGTATACGAAAATTTGACAATGGTAGGGCCCACGCTAGGCCCCACGTGGGTGCTCCCGTCACTTGATCCTCAGGCGAGTACAATAATTTTAGAAATGTTCCTTTGTTAAGTTTAGAAATGAAATAATTGTAGAAATTTTAGGAACATTCCTAGAAATGTTTGGAGATCGGAATTGAAACCGGCAGATCTGTTATTTCATTTGAAGTAACTGTTTCCTCAGCGAAATTGCAATCCGCGGCTTCGTTTACGAGTTATTAACGAAAAACTGTGACCAATGAGAGGCGAGATCGGCTGGTGCGAGGCGGCCGAGCCAATGAGCGGAACTGGGCTTCGCGCGCTCGTTGGCTGCACTGGCCGTGCTCTCGCCTCTCATTGGTCAGCGTTTTTCGTAAATAACTCGTAAACGATGCCTCGAAGAAAATTTTCGTAAAGGAAAAAGTTACTTCGAATGATCTCAGAAATCCCTTGCTTCTCAGAGGTACCATAATTTTAGGATATTCTGTAGAAAAAAGAGGCAGCGGCCAGCATGCCCGGAGCACATTAATATGAATACATAGTAATGCTGGAATAATAACGATGAGTTATCTTATTTATTTCTAATTTTTTATCACGATTCGAAGGCATTTGACGGTCACGTGCCTGGTACAGTAAATTCTCCCTACTTGATGCTCACAGCTTGTACACAAAAATGGACAATTTGGGCACAAGAGATACGATTATTTGATTTTTTATACTTACCTTGTTTTTTATAATTACCGATTTTGTAAATAACTACAAAAACGAGACACAAGGCTCGAATATATAATAATATATTTATGTTATAATATTAATATAATAATATATTTATAGTATAAGATAATAATATAATAAAATAATTATAATATAATATAATAGTTAATTCTCTCTCTTCCAAAATTGTCCATTTTTGTGCACAATCTGAGCGTCAATTAGGAAGAATTTACTGTACCTATCACGTAACTTGTAGCTTCGCAGTTTTTCTCACCTGACTCACACCCAAACATACCATTTTGTATCGTCTTCCGGGAATTCGCGTCGCGTGCCGTATCAAACGCTTGACCGACTCCTTACATAGGCGTAGAACGCGCACAAAAATGGACAATTTTGGAAAGATGAGACACGAGTGTTCGAGTCTTGCGCCTCGTTTTTATAGCTGTCGACAATAAGTAACTCATCGATGCTTAGCATCGACGTAGCAATAAATTCCATAGGCGTGGGACCAGCGCAGGGAAATTCATAGTAACTCGAAATTTGGTATTTCCGAGAGCAATTATTGTATTCCCGGTCCTAGAATTCGCAGGTATTTTTAACATTAGACTTTCACGTGGGTGAACCTGGGTTAGGCGATTCGCATTCGCACGTGTTCGATCTGATTTGTCCCTAGCGGCGTAACAGACTCGGCTACCCCCACCCCTCGGAATTACAGTCTGCCGCAATCGTAAAAAGAAAAGGACACTTTACGGTGGCACGTGAATACTTCAGCCTTGGGCTGTGCCTTTCTCTCTCTCTCTCTCTCTCTCTCTCTCTCTCTCTCTCTCTGTCATCGTTCCCACCGAAAATCGTGGGCCGTCGAGCACAGTCGTTACCAATTGTTCCTCCGGACTTCAACGACTGTTCGAAAGTCGCGCGCGCACCGCAGCGATATCGACTTCCGGCGAACGTCGAGAATTCGAGCACCATCGAGCACACCGGTGAGCATCGACGTTTCCCCTCCTTCGTACTGCTCGACCCCCTCCCCATCTTCCTCCCGCTCGTATTCCTCCTTCTTCTCCCCATCTTTCTCCGCCTTATTTGTTTGTTTATTCCGTATTTATCGGGCATAGCCCTTTATACACGTACAAAGAATTATAAACACACAAAAGTATAATACAGGAAATGAACGGGAACGATATTGCAGAAAATGGTGAAAGAAGCAGTATGAGGTGCAAAGGATAAAAATATGTACAAAATGGACTCTAGCTTAGGTGGACGTTAATACTAGATTTATGGAGCACAAAGGGCAGCTGTTTCATATTAGTTTATAAGGTAATAGTAAGACATTTATTCTGATTTTTAACAAGTTCATATTCGTGATATGAATTCACTCCAGTACATTAGCTTATAGAATGTAGATACTCCGATGGCTAATTCAGTAAAAAAATACGAGACTCCACGTGGGTGCTCCCGACCCCTTGCGATAGTACCCAGATAGTCCTAGTCTAGTGTCGATAGTCCTGTCGTGGGTATCTAGTAGACCCCTACTATTGGCAATTCTTTTTTTATTGAATTAGTCATCAGAATATCTACTTCTGATACTGAACTCTCACATGGGTACTTCCAGCACTAGACGACCACAGGGGTGATCCCAGGTTAAATCAGGCTGTGTTCCCAGATAAAAAAGTCATCGTTCTTAAACTATTTATAGGCTAAAGTACGCACTCTGTTTATTGGTCCTAATGGTCTAAACGACGTCTTAAAGACGTCCGTAAGTAGTCTACAGGACGTCTTAAAGACGCCCATAAGACGTTTACAGGACGTCTAAAAGACATTGTTTAGACGTCTAAAAGAGGTCCATAAGGCGTCTAAAAGACGTTCACAAGACGTGCTAAAAGACGTTGTTTAGACGTTTAAAAGACGTTGTTCAAACGTCTACAGGACGTCGATAAGACATCTTGATTTGTAACACGGGACGTTTCTAGACCATTCGCAGGCCGTTCATAGGACATTTGGGACGTCTTACGGTCGTCCGAATTTCATCGTGCACGAGAAACAGTACCGCGAAAGAGAAACGTGTATGCGGGGCCACGGGAAAAAATGCGGCCGCTGGAAACTGTCCCCGACGCCAATAAACTCCGGGAACTCGAAACTTCGCGGGAGAAGTTTCGCCCGTCGCGTACCGAGGATTTACTGTGCCGGCGTTGTTGCCACGCAGACGCCCGGCCAAGAAACGGCAGCCGTGCAACGGCCCCACTTCGTCAAATTTTGCAACGGCTCCGCGGAGAACCTCTTAGCGATCCGACGAATTGGGCGCAGCCGAATCGACCCTTCCACGACGGGTACCTCGCCGAAATATTTCACGGCGCCCTTCTCGACCGATTTCTCCGGGATTTCAATGCAGCCGCTGCATTGCCGGGACCCGGGATGTAAGCGGCACAACTTTTCGGAACGTGCAAAGAGATTTTTATATTCACCGGGACACGCCGGATGGCACTGTAGGGTACGAAGTTCATTCACGATCCCAGTTTCTTCAAATCGGATTACGCTTCTCGGAACTTCCGTAGTTCGAGTGCTACAGTGGACGTAGAGATTCTGTCGAGGTGTACACACTCCCTCCCCGTCCATAACTCAACGGACGATTTTCTACTTGTTTCGCAAACTAAGTAAATGTCCGGTGACTTATGGACGATGGTGTATGTAGTTTAGGGCCATCTTGAGCGGTTCTCCAGTTTCAGATTTGTGTTTAAAGCCATTCGGTATGCTTATATAGTATAGTCGCCATTGGCTCTATTGCTCCATATAAGTTTTGCTTAGTTATACGTACAATGGCTCGCAAAAGTTTTCGTACACCCTTCAAAACGCAATAACTTTTTTGAAACTGAACTAAGTGATTTGTATTCTTTTTAGATGATAGAACTAGTATACTTGGCAATGAGTAAAATATCTTTTTAAATTTTGCTATTATTTGGCATGACAAAATAATCCTCGTTTTTAAACCTTTTTAATAACGAAAATTTAAAAAGTGCCTTTTGTAAATTTTTATTCTTTTTTTGATATTCCAAATAATAGCATAATTAATAAGACATTTTGGTCATTGACTGCTATACTAGCCCCTCTATCATCTAAACAATATTCAAGTCACTTAATCCAGCTCTAAAAATGTTATAGTTGTAAATAGTTCTGCACACTCAGTTCTATAT